CCTCGGTCTCCGACCTCTCGGCCGAAAGAGCGACTCCCCCCTAGTGCGCCCTAAAGCGCCCCGGATCCGAGCTCCTCTCTTCCTGAGGTGCTCGTTCGGGTCTCCGCTCGCGCGGATTCCCTCCTCCACCGCGGGCGGGCGAGACGCCCTCGGGAGCAACCCGAGGATGCGTCCACCATTCGCGGGAGCCAGACCGGAAGTCATAAATCCCCAATATTGATAAGAACACAAAGCAATCAGGCTAACAATTTGCAATGGGCACCAGTCTTGCTTAGATATTGCTGGTCAGTAATTCGAAAGCACAAAATGTTGTGGCAGGGTTGCTGTCACATAGTTAAGGCACTGATCATAGCTATGGCACTGATAAATCAAGGCACTGATAAATCAAATCGCTCTCCCAAGTTGCACCATGGGCAAAATAAGGCAATATCCCTTTGGTGATCAAAATGATCAAAGTAAACTTGATGAGTTCTTTGACGCTTTCCCGATTTCTAACAGATTTGATGCCTTAAAGTAATCTCCAGACTTGATTGCCCTAAGTAATCTCCAGACTTGAGCCATGCTTCTCCCTTTGATCCAGCTAATCATGCTATTGCTAATCCTGAGTCTTGCTCTCCTGATTTACTGCAGATTTTAGTTTCACAGACTTGCTGAAACCCGGCAGAAGATATATAGCAAATTAGAACTAGCTATTAATAAATCTTGTTTATGTAGCACTAATCAGGTTAAATATTGTAGTATAGAATCATAGATTCATAGAATCGTGGAGTTGGAAGGGGCCATACAGGCCATCTAGTCCAACCCCCTGCTCAATGCAGGATCAGCCTAGAGCTGCTACTTAAAGACTGCCAGTGAGGGGGAGCACACCACCTCCCTAGGCAGCCGATTCCACTGTTGCACAACTCTTACCATAAAAAGGTTTTTCCTAATATCCAGCTGTTCCTTCCTGCCCTTAATTTAAACCCATTATTGCGAGTCCTATCCTACAGGGACTAACATGAAATGGTCAACTAAGATAGAAGTCTGCTGTTCTAGTGGATTATCCAAAGCATTTTGATTTAGGTTCCATTAACTAGACCCATTTTCTGTTTTCCTCGAAATTCTAACTTATCAAGGAAAAACAATTATACGGTCATCCAAGTAGCAAGTTAAGCGCCACTTGTCTTTCCTTATTGGAGATACCCACTTCTAGAATCAAGATCAGAATAGTTTCCAGGTCCTTTTATACCCAAAGGCTTGTGTTGTCTTTTTTCTCAAGACCAATCCCTTGCCTTATCTTGGATAAGAGAGATTATCTGGATAATTTTAATATTGTTACTATGAGGCATTTTGTTAATTCTGATATAAAACTTCTTTCCAGAGAATTTTAGAGGTCCTGTTGGTAAATGAATGAATTTCTCATCTAAATTAATGAAGAATATTGATTCTTCTGGAAAGCCTTGAACTTCTTCAGCTGTGAAGACTAATCATGATTCTCCTCTGCTAACTGATTTAACAATACCTTCTCCCTGTTAGAAGTGTCAGAAGTGCCAGACCTTCCAGTAATAACAAGTCCCGATGAACTGAATGGTTTAGATGCTCACTATGATCTAGCAGATCCTAATTTACCTTGTTTCTTTAGATTACCATCTTCTGATCCAGAGGTGTCAAACTCAGGGGTCATTTCCTGCAGGAGCGCACAGGAGCGGAGCTCCAGCAGTAAAGAGCCCAGGGGGCAGGCACATGCAACAAGCCCCACCCCCTGCTCCCAGCAGCCCTCAGTCAGAGCAAGAAGCAGCCAGGTAAGTTGCAGAGCCCAGCCCCCCAGCCCAAAACAGTCCAGTGGCACCTTTAAGACCAAGTTTTGTTCAGGTACAAGCTCTCCCTCCTCTGCGAGGACAGATCTGCACATTCCTCCCCCCCCCCAATAGCTAGGAATCCAAAACAGTCCAGTGGAGCCTGAGCGGTGGGTGTTGCCTTCTGACACACTTCCAGTGATGTCAGGGGTGTGGCATATGCAAATAAATTATGCTAATGAATTATGCTAATGAGCTCCTGCACCTCTTTTTCTACAAAATGACCCCTGATCAAACTCATTTGTTATGAGAGCCAATGTGTTCGAGGGAGAATGCCAACTGAGAAGGATGAACACACTCTATCGAAAGACCAAAGGTTTTGTTTTTGTAAAAGTGCTCCATCGCGTCATTTATCTTGGTCTATAAATGGCCATTCAGTTCCTCAGGTGAACAACTTCCACTATCTCGGTGCCTCCTTTTCTTATAATTTGTCCTGGACAAGTCGTATTACTTCTGCTAAGAAGTCAGAATCAGCTCTCCTAAGATTCTTTTGGTAATTATGTACCTGCCGCTATCTGGGCTTTTCAGGCTAAGGTAGTTCCTTCATTACTATATGGTGTACCATTGACTACAGTCAAGGTTAACCATAAGCATTTCTCTTGTTTAATCTCCTTTCTAGATCCATTGTCCAGTCTGCCAATGTGTATTTCTGGTCCAGCCATTCATTTGGAATTTGCTGAACCATGCCTGGAGACCAAAAGCTGGGATAGCAACATTCCTCTTCAGAATGAATTTTTTTTATTCTCTAGAAGGCTGCTATCTGCTATCTAGCTAATGAAGGTTTTCGAAGCTCATGGCTAAAATTAGTCAATTATAGGCTACAGAGATTGCGCTTCGCTGTTGAGTTTTTTAACCAAATGGAATATCCCTCCGCATGTAAGCTGATTAAATCTAGCGTGCTACATTTCAATAAAGAGAGAACTGGCTGTAGAGCTCGAAGGGTATGTTGCCTACATTATTTGAGTCTCTCAACCCCAAAGACTCTACTTACTTACTGTAGATTTTTAACAGTTACTAAATATAGAATTGGCCACCAAATGAGAAGGGAGCACTCACTGGAGAAGACCCTGATGCTGGGAAAGACTGAAGGTAAAAGAAGAAGGGGCCGGCAAAGGATGAGATGGTTCGACAGTGTTATTGATGCAACGAACATGAAATTAAGCAAACTCTGGAGGATGGCAGAAGACAAGAGGGCCTAGCATGATGTGGTCCATGGGGAATGGAAAGGCACTGATGATTTAATTTGTACCATACATAAAAATGGCTGGAAAATCCTGTTTGATAAATAACCATGTTTGCCCCACTAAAAGATAATATAGTACAATAAACTTAAAAATCAAACACATCAATGTACACTGTACACTGAAAAATGCCCAGAAGTTCTTGAATGTAATTGCAAGCACAGTATCTCTTAAGATGACTGGAAGCAGATAACAAGATCACTGGTTTCACATACTGATATTGTAGTTAAATTCAGTGTTAACAAATTCATAACTAGAGTTGAGGGCAACAAGGATGGGCAAAAAAAAATCATGCGTTAGTGGACAGAGGTTGGGAGAGGAACTGCACAAACCAACACGTGACTCCAAAACTCTTGACTGTAGCTAAGAAATCCCCACCACTCCATCTATACCAATCTACAATAAACGTAGGATGGAATTTTGCAAAAACCCAACAACATAACTATTCTGCAAGAAAATTCACAAATATTTATCAGCTATAATTTGAGCACTTATATAATAAACTTTGTAAAATGTATTTCTGGTATGGGTGCACCCACCTTCTATGATATGGGTATAACTGCACATAAACATGGAATTCACTGCCACAGGAAGTGGTGGGTGCTACAAGCATGGACGGCTTCAAAAGGGAATTAGATAAGCATATGGAGCAGAGGTCCATCAGTGGCTATTAGCCACAAGGTATAGCTAGGGGCTCTGGGGCAAGTGATGCTCTGTCTTCTTGGTGCTTGGGGGGGGGGCAACAGTGGGATGGCTTCTAATGTCCTGGCCCCACTGCTGGACCTCCTGATGGCACTGGTATTTCTGGCCACTGTGTGACACAGAGTGTTGGACTGGATGGGCCTTTGGCCTGATCCAACATTGGCGTCTCTTATGTTCTTATGTTCTTATTTAGAATGTTTATTCAGAATCCTGCTTGAGGTGGCTTAAAATTAAAAACCATTAAAAAAGCCCTTTAAAAAAGGGCCGAAACAAGTCCAACAGTTTTCTTGACGACCACGTGCTCACATCACTGTTTTATTTTATTTTCCATTGTGACATCTGTTTTGGTAAAACTTCCAGTTGAAATTAATGCAAAGACTTTTTTTGCCAATAGATATGCAAACCATTAGCAAAATAACTTAGTTATACATACCTTTCTCTCCTTGTCTTTTCTAACTTGTCCTTCAAGATCAGGATCTCTTTTTTAAGAGAAAGCTGTTGGCTCTCTGCATCACGCAGTTCTTTCTTCAGGTTTTTAATTTCATTACAATGTACCACTTCTCGTTTGGATAGCTCCTCTTCATAAAAAACACTTTTCTTTTCCAAATCAGCCTTTAATTTGGTGATCTCTTGTTGATGTTCTGTGCTGCTCACTCCTGGAGAGCGACCAATTTGCTTCTGCTACAAAAAAGGGTTATCTTTGAATTAACTTTCATGAACTGAAGAACTATGAAAACATGGGTTTAGGAATAACTCTGGAGCGAGTACGTAAACAAACATGTATGCAATGGCATACTGTGGAAGTATAATTTATGTAATTAACGTAAGAAGACCCCTGGTAGATCAGACCAATGATCCAACTAGTTCAGCACTATGAAGTGGCCAACCAGTTATCTTGGAGGGCCAACAACAGGGCATAGAGGCCAAGATCTTCCTCCGATGCTGTGCACTGGTATTCAGAGGTTTATTGCTTCTGATTGAGAAAATACAGAGGCATACACTAGCTATTAATTTTCCCTCCAAAATCAACATCATATAAATCCAAAATCAAGTCTACATGGCACTAAGAAATTCTTTGCTTACATGTTTTACAAGACCTGGCACAGTTTGCAGTATTATCACTTCCTGCTATTTCAGCAGTCCATGTTACAAGATATTTACAGAATGGGGAAAAAATCAAATCATCAATGTACTCAATGCTTTACATTATTTTACACTGACATTATACGGTAAGATATCTTGGGATATCAAGGGGAAAATGGTGATGTACTGGTTGTTCATAGGGCAATGGCTATAAATCCATAGTTGCACAGAAAGGTTTTTTCTCTCTCTAGGGAAAATGATATATGAACTTGCATAACCCTTTCCTGCATTTCTGACAGAGACCTTGACAGGCAGCAATTACATTTTAAAGTGCTGAAGTCAACAAAGACTAACCTTTAGTCCTTCTAGCTCATTTTCCAGCTGTTTAGAGTACTGCTCACTTCGTTCACGCAATTTCCTGTCCTTGGATGCCTCGGCAGCTGCAGCTTCAGCATGAACTTCCAACTACAAACATTATTTTGAAAATAGTAACCATTCCTTTCCATTTTATCCTACTTTGATAGTGCATCAGAGAAACAATCCAGGTATTGCAATCAGTGTTCCCTCTGAACTGAGTCAGTGTGAGCTAGCTCACAGTTTTTTTAGCCTCCGGCTCACACATTTTTGTCTCAGCTCAGGAAGGATGGCTCCAGAGCAAACTCATTTATGCAGTAGCCAAATCGCTGGCTCGCGACTTTAATGCCAGTAGCTCACAAAGTAGAATTTTTGCTCACAGGACTCCACAGCTTAGAGGGAACATTGATTGCAATACTATACTTCAAAGACATGTTTTAGACAGAAGCCAAGGACAATTAACATCCAACTCCTAAGCACTTTACTGGTAAGTAAGTTCCACCAACTGCAAAGGGACTTACTAACAAGTAAATGTTACTTAGAACTGCATACTAAGGATCTTAATTAATCTCGTTATTAGCCCCTAGTTTCTGGCAAGCAATAGTTTTAGAGTGCAACTATATAACCATCGTCACTAAGTGCTACAGATTGTTTACTAGCTAAAGCATAGAACCATCAGTATTATTGTTGGTAGTTACTAGGCATTCTAATAGAAAAATACACATAATTTATCAACATCAAATATTAGTAATATAATAATTAATACTAATATAATGATTGTATCAAATACAAAAATATGTATGCAAACAAACGTAGGCTTAAGCAGCTGGCTCCCACTGAAAGGACACTTTCACCAGCAGGGAGGTGTATGACTTCTGCTCATTTCTCCCTCCCAGTGCAAACCCCCACAATGTGCCCAGCACTGTTTGTAGGACTTCTCTCAATCCCATGGCAGCATTTGGGGCTAAAGTGGAAAGGACAGATGTGAAGGCCCATTCCATGAGCTCCACTGCACCTGCAGTTCTCATTGGATATAAACTGCTATATTATTATTAATTATAGCAGACATAAAAGATTTCTTACTCCCTTTTATTCTGCTCATTTTTTTCATCAAATGGAACAAAAGCAGCCCACATTCTAAGGCACAATTATTGAATTCATTATCTTCCTTCTATTGGTCTACTATGTTGTAAGTTTTTATACCAAAGCAGTTCCCACAGATTTTCCAAAATAATATTAAGAACACTGAATCATTACTCAGATACTTTACAGTGTTTAGAAGTATTCATCTGAGAAGTGCAACATTTTGGAAACAAACCAACATTTTTTTTCAAAAACTTGCAAACATATATAAGAAGAGTTCATTATCCACCCATTACTACAACTCCTCAACTTTAAAAAAGTAAAAAACCCAGCAAAATAAGCTTTATTTTGAGCAAACTCTTTCCTGCAGTCACCATCCCAAAAGTAACATACTTCCTTTTTCATTCTCTCTGTTCTGCGTAGCTCTTGCCTCAAGCTTTCCACCTTTTGCATCACCACTTCCATCTCCTCTTCTTTATCTCTGACTTGACGGGTGAGTTTCTGTTTCTGTGAATGCAAGTCAGTAAGTCGCTCATTCATTTCAGAGAATTCCTGCATGGCCAGCTTCCGTTGACTGTGTGCATCTTTCAGCTCTTTGGTTTGGGTCTTTAATCTTTCGCTAGACTCAATTAGTTCCTGTAATTAAAAACAAAGCATAGCATATCCTTAATTTGCGGAATCACGTAACTAGATGAGTGTTCCAAGTTTCTATTAGAATAAACACACACTTTCTATCTCCTTTGCCAAACAACGCATACCTAAGTGTTTTTATCAAGAAAAGAAGTTGCCATGAAGATGTTAATATTTCAGCTTCACTGCAATCAGTGGACCTTCATAAACGAAATCTGAATTTCAACTAATCATAGTCCAACCTATGATCCAAGACAAATCTTTCATTACATGCAACTAATCATACAAATACACAAGGTAGCTAGCTGCATCGTAATTTAAAATACTACTGCAATAGATTTTCATGGTAATTTTAACTAGACTACATATGCATACAAAATTATTCCATAAGGTAGAGAATTTTCACATGTCCTTTAAGGCAACCAAACAGATGGCTGTATATGTAGACATCACCGGATGGCCAATATAGAAATCAAATAAGTTACATAACTGGAAGCAGAAAAAGGAGAAGTTGTATTCTCTGAGCTAAAACAAAACCAGAAGCTCACTGTGCTATAGAATAATGAATTATTAATATAAAAATTAGAATAAAGATGAAGAAAAACACCAAAACATTCATAGTGCCAAAATACAATCTAAACAACATTGATGAAACTTTTAAAATTTCTAAAGATAGACAAGAAACAAAAGTAAAAGGTGCCAGAAATAGAACCAGAAGTCAAAATGCAATGTTCCAGCAACCGGCATGTAGAGACAAAGAGAACTATTATCAGGGGTCTTGTTGTAGAAAAAGAGCTGCCGGAGCTCATTAGCATAACTCATTAGCATAACTTATTTGCATATGCCACGCCCCCTGACATCACCGGAAGTGACAGAAGGCCACACCCCCTGACATCACCGGAAGTGTGTCAGAAGGCCCGGCTACTTACCCTCCTGCTTCATCCTCATTCCCAAACGGAATGAGGATCGAAGCAGAGGGCGGGGTAAAGAAGGGGGCGGGGCTTCACCACGTGACCGCCCCGCCCCCTAGAGGTTCTCTTCCGGAGCTCCGTACCTGAGAGCTCCCCCCCGACTAGAGCCCTGACTATTATACTAACCAGTGTAAAGAAATAGAAGACAGCAACAAAAAAGAACAAGAAATCTGTTCCACAAGAGCCAAGAGTTCAAAGGGACATTTAAAGCATGATTAGGCATGTTGAAAGATCAACACAGAAATGCATTAACTGAACAGGACAAAATAAAGAAAAGATAGGAACAATACACTGAAGAATTATACAGAAGAGATGAAAGGATGATAGATTCCTTCAAAGAAGAAAGTTTTCAAAAACAACATACAAAGTGAAGTGAAAGAGAGCAGTTGGGAAAAACAAATCAGCAAGAGTAGATTGGATATCAGTAGAGCTATTCCAAGCAAAAGAAATGGAGTCCATCAAAATCTTAACCACAATATGGCAACAAATATGGAAAACAAAACAATGACCCATAGACTGGAAATATTCAATCTACATTCTAATTCCAAAAAAGGAGACATCAAAGACTGCAGCAACTATCGGACCATCGCATTAATTTATCATGCAAGTAAAATGATGCTCAAAATCTTACAACAAAGACTGTTACCATATCTGAAACAAGAAATGTCAGATGTTCAAGCTGGATTCAGAAAAGGAAGAGGCACTAGATATCATATGGCAAATTTACATTGTTTACTGGAGCATACGAGAGAATTTCAGCTTCTGATTCATAATTACAGTTTTTGACTGTGTGAGTTATGAAAAGCTATGGTTGGTTTTAAAAGAAATGGGTGGGTCACAACATCTTGACTGTTTCTATGAGAACCTATATTCTGGACAAGAGGCTACTATTAGGACAGAATATGGAGAAACAGAATGGTTTCCAGTTGGCAAAGTTGTCAGAGAAGGAAGCATTTTATCTCCCTGTCTGTTCAACCTCTATGCAGAACATATCATGGGGAAACCTAGATTAGATTTAGATGAAGGTGGAGTAAAAATTGATGGAAGAAACATTAAGAATTGGAGATATGCAAATGACACCACATTACTGGCAGAAAATACTGAAGACTTGAAATGCCTAATAAAGGTTAAAGCAGAAAGTGCACTTTAGCTGCAGCTTCATATGAACTATATAGATACATATTCATCCAATGCCTCCATGATGCCTGGACTATGTTTTCATATTATTTTCTGTCAGATTTGACATTATACTGCTGTTCTAACATACTTATCCATTGTTTGCCCTCTAACTGTTATAATTATCATCCTATCCTGAACCCACAAAGGATTTCTATATATAAATATTACTAACTACATGGAACACTTTAAAACCTGAAGTCAATCAAATAGGACCACACATTTGGCAATGCATGTAGTGCTTTTAATTATGACAGTATCACAAACATTGTTACAATGTAGATAAGGTTGGTGATATTTTTATATAGCCCAATCACTTTTTCTGTATGACTGTACTAAGGTGGCGGTCACACGCACGAGATAGTGCGGGAGGGAAGCAAGGCCATTTCCTCCGGATGAATTTGACCCGCAGTTGCGCAATCACACAGTCCTTTAAAGCTGCGGGGACAGCCCGCCACTGCATAATCAGACACAATCATGGGTGAGTTGGGTTTTTTTTTTGCCATTTGTTCCCGATGCGTCATGAGAGCGCGCTGGAGCGATCAGACAGGGGAATCTGTGGCCCGTAACAACCCGTTTGCTACTGGAGTTTCCCTGGTGTCTTTTTACTCTGCTTCTGCAGTGGAGCAAAACAGGTTGCCTATGGGTGCGGGGTGCTTCCCAGATGTTCATGTCTAATCGCACCCTTTAAATCTGCTCGGTCGGCATTCACGCCTATGGCGCGGCTAATTGTGTGTGCAATCGTGCCCTAAAATTGCTCTCTTCTGAGCTGAAATGTTCTATTACTGAAATAGATACAATTGTTTTAAAAAGGGATAGATGAAATACAATTTACCTTATTAAGATCATCCTTCTCTTGTTTGAATGCTTTGATTTGCTTCTCAAATGTTTTGATTTGTCGAGCAGCCTCTTCTAATTCTTGTCTTGCAGAACTGGCTTCTTCAAGTTGCTGTTCAAGTCGTCCAGAATCTATGAAGAAAATTGCTAAATGTTACAGGATAAAATATAAAACTTGTGGAATACTGTGGAACAGAATTAACACCTGAAAGCACCTGGGCAATATCTGGCCATTGCAGAAGGAATGGCTGGCCTCCCAGTGGTAACATTTGGTCGTCCACAACCTGTGTATAAATAGGTAAATATTGATTACAACAATGGGACTTGCCAGCAGTCCACCCTGGCAAAGGGGCTTTTTCAAAAATATGTTGTATAATTTAGGGCTACATAGCTTAATGTATATTATTCCACATTTTCACACATCAAAATCTACGTCTGTTATATTACTCTGCTTCATGTCTTCTTCCCTATGGATCAGTTGTCAATTTACTGCTTGCTGAACAGAAGAGTTTACAAGCATCCAAGCTACAACCTTCCATGAAGCAATGGAGTGCCTTACAGAAGTGGTTCCCAACCTTTTTGGTATGGTGATCCACAAGTCTAAATTTACTTCGTACAGTGACCCATCCACGGCTGGCACAAACTTTGACCTTGGCACCCATCTACTCTAGCATTCCATTTTCCATAGCGCCCAACCAGATGTTTTTGAGAAACCAGCAAACATCACACAAAGGGTGCAGCTGCCCCACCATGAACCCCAAGCTAATAGGAGTTTATCTCCTCCTCTTCCTCTGCCAGCTGGGCCAGAGCCAGAGTTTGCAGAAGTGCGCTTGGGGATGTTGAGGTTGAGGAGATACACAAAAATGGCAGATGGTGAGGAGATTAACAAAGAGAGGCTCAGTACACTACATCTCCCACAGCAGTTAGAGGAGAAAGAGGCACTGCAGGAGGCTGAGGAAGAGGTTCAACTGCTGAAGGAGCAGCACCAAGGAAAAGCCCATGCATGCACACACCAGTTTGGTGTAGTGGTTAAGTGCACGGACTCTAATCTGGGAGAACCGGGTTTGATTCCCCACTCCTCCACTTGCACCTGGGCTGGATGACCTTGGGCAAGCCATAGTTCTGATAAGAGCTGTTCTTTGAAAAGAGCAGCTTCTTTCAGAGCTCTCCCAGCCCCACCTACCTCACAGGCAATGTTCCCTCTAAGCTGTGGAGTCTTGTGAGCAAAGATTCTACTTTGTGAGCTCCTGGCATTAAAGTTGTGAGCGAGTGATTTGGCTACTGCATGAATTAGTTTGCTCTGGAGCCATCCTTCCTGGGCTAAGACAAAAATGTGTGAGCCGGATGCTAAAAAACTGTGAGCTAGCTCACACGAACTCAGCTTAGAGGGAACACTGCTCACAGGGTGTATGTTGTGGGGAGGGGAAGGGAAAGGAGTTTGTAAGCCGCTCTGAGACTCCTTTGGGTAGTGAAGAACAGGGTATAAATCCAATCTCTTCTTCTCTTCTTCTTCTCTGTCTACCCTCCAGTGTTTTTTCCATGGTATTCTGAACAGCTTCCACCTACTCTCCAACCTTTCCCCATTTCTTTCAGCTACTACCATAAAGTTACTAGCTGCACAATTGTTTCCCCCTCATTATTGTCACAAAAAAGGAGGGAGAGATGAGAATGTGAGAAGTTGGCGAGGAGCAAAGAAAGAGAAGGATGCAAAGTGCAGGCGCACCATTAGGGAGGGCTGGTCTGCAACCCACTTTCATGGACTTCATGACCCACTTTTGGGTCTTGTTCCACAGGCTGGGAAACACTGCCTTACATCACCTGGTCACCTTAGCACTGTTACACTTCAATGCCTAGCATGTAGATATATCTAGACTAGTTATTTACCATGTTTTCTCAGTGCCAATGGGAGCACCTGTCTAGTTGGAATGGTAACAATTGTCTGACCTGAATAATCTATACTAATAATAAATTACAATCCTTAGAGCAGCAACATATTAAACTGCAAAATGGCATTTAGATGGAAGTTTAATTCCCCAATATCTATGCTGATGAATTATGAATCGCATAGAAAAGAATCAGAATGAATGGTAAACTAAAATGAAGAATGGTAAGGTCCTTATCCTACATGTTTAATTTTTCTTGTGCAATTTCAGCTTCATCCATTTCCAGAAAAGAAAACATATAAAAGAAGTGACTATCTTGAATGCCGGGCTGTGTATATCTTGCCACTGTTTTTGCATTTCTTTTTAAGGGGAAGTCCTGGGAAGTTCACAAATACAGAAAATACAACCATACACCCCAAATATGGACTTGAATAACCCAGATACACAGACATAAGAAATGAGCCAAATGAAAAAAAGAACACATGGCCAGAAACAAATGTGCTTTACTATGACAAACAGATGCAGCAAACCTGCCAGAAGTATACCAGAAGACCAAACATCTTCACTGGTGACATACCCAAAGTCTTATTGATTTCAACAATGTAAATGCAGATAGCAGAACAATATTATTATTAGATTTCACCAGTTCCTTTAATTGTCTAAGCATTTTTTTAGCTGATTGCTAGTTTTCACTTACAAAACCAACCACACATGGTTTACAACATGCCATGCCAAATCACAGTAGTTATCATGATACTTTATGACAGAATATGATAAAGTACATAGTATAAAGTCAGTTTTCAGATACCATACTTTGAGATGGAATAATTAATGTTATATGTTTTAGCAAGTTAACATTATATTCAGATGGCTTTATTTCTAATGTTAACACCATTTGTGTTATGTCTTTTCTTTGTTTATTGTTTCTGTAACTACATAAAAGAATGTATTTTAGAAACCCTATATTTTAAAACAAAGTGTTATTCGCTTTAAAAGCAAACATGATTTCAAAAATGCAACTAACACATGTCAAGTATGTCACAAACTTGAGAACAAAATATACAAAAGCATATGTTTTTGTTTTATTTTTTTCTTATAAAAATGAAACTTTAATAAATCTTTAAATAGAGTATTATAGGGACTCATGCCCCCTGGATATGCTGTCCACCACCAACCCCATACAACTGGCCAAGGGGAAGTTGTGGCTATTATCCTCCATGAGGATTATCAACTTTTGCAGACTTCCAGTGCAAATTATAACTGGCACTGACTGTATGTTCCTTATACTAGGGACTAAGGACAGGTCTACTGGCCACCTAGTTCCCCAGTGAGCACATTTCATACTGTCAGATGTGGTATTGCAGACTCCTCGACTGATCGTTCTGGGGGACTTCAATATCCATGCCAAGGATACCTTGCCAGGACTGGCTCAGGGTTTTATAATCTCTGCTTTGGACCTCTAACAAATTGCAATGGGCCCAACATATGAAAGAGATCATACATTAGATTTAATTTTTTGCACTGAGCTATTGAGGGTGATGATCTGGTTTCAGGGTTAGAGATTCAACCTGCAGCATGGTCTGACCACTACTCACTTAAAGCCAAGGTGAATGTGGCTGCAACATCCCATATGAGAGGGGCCACCAGTAAAAATGGTCCATCCACAGAGGCTCATGAATCCTCCTGGGTTCCAGAACGCTCTGGGGAATTTTAGATCCCAAACACATGCTCAGCTGAGGCTTCAGTGGGAGTGTGGAAAGTGAAGCTTCCTGAAGCTCTCAACAAAGACCGGGAGGAAGAAGATCAACAAAGACCCTCCACAGGGTGCCGGTAGGGCAGTCCCCATCCCCAGTATATGTGGCCATACGTAGGGATACTCGATTAACTGTAAGCCGCTCAGAGACCCCCTGTTGAAATAAATAAATAAACAATGTTGCCTTCTATAATCATTCTTGCTTCTGGGATGTAAACCGCCCTCCTGGTTCACCATGGAACTGGGTGACCTGAAGAGGATTAGGAGACATCTAGAATGATGCTTGCAGCGAACCCTACCAAATCTGGTAGATCATGCTATACAGCCCATCAGAAGACCTACGAAGCAGTGGCGACGGTAGCAAAGAAATACTACTCTGCTACTATAGCATCAGCTAGTTCACAGCCATCCCTGTTGTTCAAGGTAGCTCAGCAACTGCTGATGTCAAAATGTGAGCCTTTATTATCAATTAGATGTTATTTTTGCCAAGTTTTTTGCTGATAAAATATTGAGTATACACTCTGATTTGGATGTCAGTTTTAACACAGGCACAACAGAAGACATGACTAATAAACTGCCTGGTCTATCCATGGATCATTTTGTCCCAGATTCTGTGATGGATGTGGACAAAAATCCTGGGATTGGTGAAGGTCACTACTTATACTCTAGATCCTGGCTGCTAAAATTATGTACGGACCACATCAACAAAGCCTTAGTACCTCTTTTAAATCAGTCACTATCTCAGGGCACGTTCTCCTGGCCAATCAAAGTGGCAGTTATCCATCTCCTACTGGTCTCTAACCTGCCCTTTCTTGTCAAAGTGGTTGAGAGAGCAGTAGCGGACCAGATCTTCTTGGATTACTCATCTACTCTAGATCCTTTTCAGTCTGGCTTCCGGCCAGACTATGGCACAGAGACTAGCTTTAGTTGACAACCTTTGTCTGAGTGTAGAAAAGGCTATGCCTCCTTGTTGCTCTTGTTGGATTTATCTGCAGCCTTTGATAAAGTAGATCATAGCATCTTGTTGAGACACTTGGAGGCAGAAGTCGGTACCAGGGGCTGTATGCTTAACCGGTTCAAATCATTCCTCACAGACAGGACTCAAAGAGTTCCTGTGGGAGACCAGTTGTCATCATTGTGGGACCTATCCTGTGGACTTCCATAGGATATAATTTTATCCCCCACATAAAGCCCTTGGGAGAAATCATTCATAGCTTTGGGGTTGGATTTCATCAACATGCTGATTATACCAAGTGCTATCCTTATCCTTATACAAATCCCCTGGTGATGTGGTAGAGATTCTGAATAACTGCCTGGCTGCAGTGTTGAACTGGCTAAGAATGAACAATTTAAAACTAAACCCTAACAAGACAGAGGTAATGCTGATTGGGCAGGTGGAGATCTTGAAAGATACTGTGTTCCCCACTTTTGATGCTTATTGAATGTCCCATCTGTTGGCTGAATCAACTCAGAGAAATCCGCCTTGAGTCCAAATG